GTGCTCGGCAGTTTCCTCGACGCCGCATTCTGGGCAGTTGCGGTCATCATGGTGGCCGAACCTGGTTTGGTAGCTTCTAAAACACCCATGACCGCTTAGGATCTGGGTCAGCCAGAAGTTAACCTCGCCATGGCATCTTAGGGTCCATCTGGTCACGTCCGGGATAATCCTGTGGGTCCATCGCCCCTTCGTCGACTGCTGCCACCGACTCTGCCACCTTTCGAAGCTATGAGCTCTGGCGTTGGCTTTTATGGCTCGCCTCTGAGCAGTGCTGCACTCTTCTCCGATCTGCTTAATCGCGTCGAAGATCTCCTTTGCCTCTACCGCCAACAAGTCTATTGGGATGGTCCCAGCTATGACCTGGGCTGCGTCATCCGATATTGTCCGGAAACCGGAGCACACTCTCAGGGCACACAGTCTGTGCGTCGCTTCCAGGCCCCTGATGTAAGACTGCCTGTTGGTAGCTTCGGCCCATATGGGGGCTGCGTACAGTGCTGTCGCCCTACAGACAGACTGTAGCAGAAGCCTGCGTCCCTGCCTAGGGCCCCTGCAGTTGAGCATTATTCGTGCTAGGGCCCTAGCGACGCTCGCCGCCTTCCGATTTGTCTCCGCCAGGTGTTCTTTAAACGACAACCTGGTGTCTAGCATAATTCCAAGGTACCGGATTGCCCTTACCGACGTGATGGTGGCGCCACCGACTTGGATGGTGGCTGTCTCGACCTGCTTGCGGCTGGATATCAGCACGGCCTCCGTTTTGTGGTCTGCGATATCTAGCCCGACCGATGTGAGCCACTCCACTATGGTGCAGATAGATGCATTACCAAGGCCCTCGGCTTCCCGAACTGTTTTTGCCACAACTACTATGGCAATATCGTCGGCGAAGCCGATCACCTTGGTTCTTCCTGGTAGTGGTAATCTCAGCACCCCGTCGTACATTGCATTCCACAGCAGTGGCCCAAGTACTGAGCCTTGTGGGACTCCGCAGGTTACCCTGTGCTCCAGTGCGCCCCCTTCTGTGTCGTAGACTAGTACTCGGTCGCTGAAGTATGACTTAAGAATGCCCACTAATGCATCCGGTACGCCTAGGTTCCGTAGGGCTCCTATGGTGACGTCCCATCTTGCCGAATTGAATGCATTACGGATGTCTAGTGTCACCACTAGACAGTACTCCTTGGTGCCTCCTTGCCACCTGGTCCCTTGCACTGCCTTCGAGGCGATCTCCTTCACTGTAGCGATCGCGTCCACGGTAGATCTCGCCTTCCTGAAGCCAAACTGCATTGGCGAAAGGTCCCCTGCAGCGGAGATGGCTACCTGCAGTCTACTGCTCAGGCATCGCTCGAAAGCTTTGCCCAAGTGGTCAATCAGGCATATCGGCCTGTATGACGATGGACTCTCGGGAGGCTTGTTTGGTTTTGGAAGAAGTACCAGCTTCTGTCTCTTCCAGCGCTTTGGGAAGAGGCCTTCCGTGAGGCACTGGTTGAAAACCTTTGCGAAGGCTTCCGGGTGCTCGTTCATTCCTAGCTTGATGGCGATGTCCGGGATTCCATCTGGCCCTGGTGCTTTTCCCGATGGCAAGTCCCTGGCTACCTTGCGTATTTCGTCCGATGTGAATATCAGTGCCGATGCGTCCGCAGGAGCCGCGTCTGCAGCTTGCGGAGCCAAGGGCACTGCTGGGAACAGGTGTTCCACGATCGCCGTCATGTGGGCGGCGTCTCCGGCTTTCAGAGGTTTCGCTTGACTTAGCTTTTTTATTACTATTTTATACGCTGCTCCCCATGGGTCCTGCTCGGCTGAATCGCATAGATCCAGAAAGCATCTCCTTTTTGACTGCTTGATGAGTCTCTTCAGGATCCGACGGTTTACCGCGTATTCTTGCCTCCGGAACTCGTTGTTGGGGAGGCCCTGCTCCCTTTGCTGACGCCGTCTTGCCCGTAGGCAATTTCTGCGTGCCTCTGCGATCTCCTCTGGCCACCAATAGACTGGCTCCCGATGACGGTGATGGCTCCTCGACACCTTCATACTGGCTCTGCATGCCGTCTCAACTGCTCGAGTGAGACACTCCACGCTGTCCACTGCGTTCCCGCCGATGTCAGGATTCCCAAGTTCCCTCAGGAGCCGCCCATTATGGGTCAGACGCTCCGTGGATTTCGGTGAGATGGTGAGAAGTGGGAAAAAGGGTTCTTCCCCGGTGGGAGTTAAACCGCTCCAGCTCGGTCGCCAGTGCCCCTGCTTTGGGTGTCCCGCGTGCGCGGTGGGGTTAGCTATTGGTCTGCTCCTTGACTTTTAACACCTATAACTACGAGCCCGAGTCTTTTGGGTCAATTTTCACTGTGATTCCATGAGTTGTCGTCAAGGATTCTCATCAGCAGCCCAGGAAAGTATGCTACAACCAGCACCAAGATCGTTTGTCGAGTTGCATAGCAAGTAGCTGTTCACAGTTAGCGATAAGAAGTTCCCGAAAACCACAGCGCCACCTGTGGTTGGAGACGCTTGCGGCTGTCGTTTTCCAACACTGGGTAAACAGCTGACTTAGATCAGCTGGCGTGACATTGCATCTCGCGTTGCACACACAAAAAAAAAGAAAGGGGACGAAAGAGAAAACTGAAGAGAAAGCTCCGAATATTCTCTCACCCTGACCTATCCCATGGCCCTGGAGGTCTCAGCCGGCGGACGGTCCATGGAACTCCGGAGATCGTGACCTCACCGGGTAAGTGCACTGGACAGCATCGCTGATATAGGCCGCAGCCCCTGGCTCGTCCCCGCTGACTCAGCGCGGAAAATTTTGGAGTTTTTCCGGGAGCGCCAACATGATGCAGCCGTCTTCAAACACATCGCGCCACTCTGTCGGGTATATAGATATGTGTGTGCGTGTGTGTGTGTGTGGACGAATGTGTATGTGTATCTATGTCCCGGCCAACATCCGTTGAGCATACAACGACGGTCAACTGCATTGGCCATTGAAACGGAAATGAGAACTCAACGCAGCGGAAATTTAATAATGACCAACAATTTAGCAATGGAACTGGGGAGCGGGAATGATGGTGGAATGCCAGAGGATCGTGCACACAGCCAGGACAAGAAGGACATATTTATGCGGCCATTTTGAGTGACCGCATCCAGTATCCACCATCGAAACCAGCTGCGACCACGCCCTCAAATTGTTGTCCATTGACAAATGACCATTTCATATGTGAAATGGCAATTCAATTGATTTCTCTGCGCCAAACCGTTTGCAATTGAAATGAAAATAGTTCGAATATGTTTCAGCCATCGGCCGCTGACCTTTTTCTTCCATCCCCTTCACGGTCACCCCCTCCCCCCCCAGTAATGAGAAGTATTTCATAAAGCAACAAACCCGGCCACATAAATTGCTTCGTGTTTGGGCGAGAAGAACTGACAACAAATTGTCAATAATATTGAGTGGGGTGCGGAGGGATGTTGTAGGCCACAATGGCAACTGTAATGAAATATATTGCGTAGAACAGTTCAAGTATGTCAACGGGCATAATAATAAATTTTATAGTTTAATTTGAAGTGACGCGCGGCGATAAAACGGTTGTTGGGTATTGGTTTGGAATTTATCAAGAAAATTGCAGGGAATTTGCAAATAGGCAAAACAACAACCAGGCCAAATTACATTTCCTACAATAAATAAAATAAAATAGGTACACACCTAAAATTTACCAGCTGAAATAGGTTAGCATTTAGTTGTAATACAATTATTGCGCTTCAAAAATATAAGTAAATTAAAAATTGTTTAACTCTTTGAATTCTTTTGTCTCCAGAGTATAAAAGAATAAGAAGCGTACCCCACACATCAGCATACATGATAAATGGCTCGTTTATCAACCAAAACGCATCGGAAGCAGGCAATTTCCTATGAAATTAATTTCCCTAATCAGTCGAGCAAGTCACCCGGTTAACTTTTTTGTGAAAAGCGAACTCATGTCAGGACCTTGGCAACCTTTTCCCGAGTGTCACTCGTTCCTGTCGTTCCAATCAAGTTTATTAAATGCCTTCTGCCTGGGCTCAATTATCTTTTTGACATTCTTATTTTTTTATTCAAGGGGGTGGCTGTGCTTTATAATTCATTCAGCTCAGTCGCTGATATGTGGAGGAGTGGCTGAGATGACTGCCAGCTGTGTTTGTCAGATAACAAAAGAGCTCAGGACTGGGCCATCCTTTCGGCATTGTTCATTTCGTTGGCAGAGATTTGAGCGCAGAGATATTCGAATGCGGCTTCTTGGAAAATTAAGTTATGCAGATGAGAGCTGTTAGAAAAGTGTTGGCTTAACTTGTTCTTAAAAATATGAAAAGTGAAGACACAAATATGATTTAATCTTCGCAGAGCAATTACAATTCTTGCGAAGCCAAATCCCAACTCATTCAGCGTTGGAAATTCCATTTGGCCAAAGCCTAAGCCAAAAAGTAAATTTTCCATTATTTTCTTTAATTTAAATGAACTCCAGTCGCTTGCATTGTCCCTCCCATTCTGTTTCCATTCACACGGGACCACAATATAAGGAAAATTTGCATAACAAAAGGCTTTTCCAGTTGCTGCACAATGCAAACATTGCTAAGTCGATTCTTAATTTTCAATTAAAATCCAATTTATTTATAGAAGGAGCGTTTAAAAAAGTTTATCTCGCATTGTTTTTTCCAAGCGAATTATATCCTGCGAAACGAGTTAAACGTGATTGAGAATGTCTATGCTGACGAAGACCGTTATTTTTAGGTTGGAAGCTGTTCCAAAAACGTAATATAAGCTGCCACTCAAGAAGATTAATAACACGCGACATCGAGAATAAACTAAATAAATAGTACTTATAATCGAAGTGAACGAAAAATGAAAATCTGTTTATACAATTTACAAAGGTTTATTAAGTCAATTTGGTGACCAAGGTGACAACGTGTGCACACTTTACAAAAGCGAGTATTAAATAGGAAATATTGAAATATAAAATTATAGAATTAGATTAATTAACATAAATTGTAAGTGTTCAATTTTTTTGTGTCTTCCTCTTAAACTCGAAAAACTGTACTAGACCCAATCTATTATCCTTATCCATATAATAGCACTCGGGATCCAATCTTTTGGCTAGCCTCCTTAATGAGTCGTCAGCAGCTAAATGAAGACTAAATAAAAAACTAATCATTGTCAAATCAAATTGATCTCTCATCTCCTTGATTACATCCGAGTAATTTTGACAGGTCCAACGAAACTGCAGCATTCGTTCCCTGTAAAAGTTGGAAACTATGCTTTGTGGTTTGTGCGCACGAACTTTAATCACATAGTCCACTGAATTTTGACTTAGTTTTAGGAACTTTTGCTGCTTGTCATCAAGTTTAAGTATGAGATCATAAAGTCGCTCCAGATATTGATGGGATTTTCGTAGATTTTTTTCTTGCAGGGATCCAAACATGATTGTTCTCAAATATTTTCTATTTTCGTCCAGTAATTGGTCGACGGTATTTGCGTGCTTGCAGGCCAACAAAAGTTTCGCGAATGCTGGCTCTAATAGATGGTTAAAGAAATACTCCCTTAGAACACTCATCAGGCGCATACAGGCGTTTATCAACTTGGAGAAACATTTAAATGTCTCATTAAGGTCTTCAAAATATTTGAATTCAATACGATTGCGAAACTGCATCTGTTGCCTATGTACTCTTTCACAGAGCACATAGTAAACGTAATGGAATCTCCACATTGCGCTGAAGATAGCCTCATACTCCTTGGAATCCCCGCCGAGTAAAGCTTTCCAATGAACTGGCATCTTCCATCGGAGTATGAGCATTGACCAACACCTGGATCCCTCGGACTGGCTCTTATCAATATAGATGTCCGGAACTGGTTTGTGCAACATTTTATCCTTCATTTCGTTAAAAAGTTGTATATTGAAGGAACTTTCGGTATCACTAAGGATGGGCTCGAACATTTTGAGGAACTCATTGGTAAACTCATGATCCGTAAGCATTATGTACTTATGCAGCTCAGAAAACAGGTGCTCCGGACTGGTCTTAATCTTACGAAGATGTTTTAGAACCTTGCAGGAAATTTCCAAGTGCAGTTTTCTAACAAAATTGTAGAGTGGTTCCTGATCGCCATGCCGGAAGAACTGATCGAATGTCTCTAACAACATGCAGCGAAGTTTTTTTCTAGGCAGACAAGTTTCAACGTTAATGGCCAAATACTTATCTGAGTATTTCAGAGTTTTGCCGACACTTAACAGAATTTCACTTAGCTGCGGGTCGAAAATACCAGAGAAGAACTCTGTGATGCAGTAGCGATTTTGCCAAAATTCTTCTATCTTTGAAGATTTAGTTTGTTCAATGAGAAACTTATCGAGATTAGCAGAAGGGAGTCGACCGTTCAAAAGCCATTGGTAAAGATTAAATATAAATGGTTGAATTACCACTCTTAACCATTTGAGTAGTAAGTTTCTTTGATATCCGGTTCTTCGCCTTGATTCCTCATAAAGGGATACCACAGCAGACTTTGCTTTCTGAACATTGTTAAACACCTCTAGTAACCACTCAAATTGCAGCTGAAAATCTCGAGTGCTCTGATACAAGGAAAGCAGTGAGCAGGGATTTCTTTTCTGTGCCTCATAAAATTGGTGGAAATTGAGTAGATACTTTTGTAGACATTTTCTAAGCGCAACAGCAGTATCGCCCTGTTCGGCAAGCATTACCTGATGTCCTTTCAGCTCCCGATAAAAGTAACCCAAGTGACCGACGGTCAACAGCAGATAGGACTCACTTATGCTCTTCTGATGCTGAGGTGAACACAATAGTAGTCTTCCTGTTAATGGCGATACCTTCAAGTGGGGCGATCCGTAGCCCATCATTCCATGAAGAGCATCCGTGAATAGTGACTCTGCAGATAAATCCTGATCACCTTTATCCCTCGCCTGCCAGCGCAAAGATTCATATACGGTTTTTTCCTTTCTAGTGAGCAGCTGTTCCAACTTTCCTTTTCCCACAATAGTTATCAAATCGGGAAAGTTCACATCCTCGGGTGCTTCTCTTATGACACGTTGTAGAACCTGACTTAGCTTGGCTTGTATCGATGCGGTAATTGTTTCACAGCCTGCACAGTATTTTTTGTGTCCCGTGATCTCGAAAAATTGATCCAGTTGTTCATATAAATCGGGAGCATTTGGATCATCAGGGACCCACTCATATGCAGGGTTCGACTTAAAGGACTTAATTATAACGCGAGGGGCGGCAATGACATAACGTTGATGGTGCCATTTTGGTCTAGATTTTCTAATGAACTCACTTTCTACGGAAGTAGCCTCAGTCACATTGCATTTTCTTTTTTTTATACAAAATCCTTCTGCAAAGTATTTATCCTCCTCCTTTGAATAGTCCACCTTTACATTACAATTTTTGCTTAAGTAAAGAATTTGATTACTGTCCTTACTGGACAGCTGTGATTCAGAGCATTCGCTTAATTCTGAAGTTTCTGACTTTTGGCTTACATTTTTCGGGGGCTGTATAACTTCAGATATAGATGTGTTAACATTCTTCGATGGATTTACCTTAACCACACTTTCCTCAGACAAATCAAATAAAGTACTTTCAGCTGTTGTATAAATTATTTCCTGGCTTTCATGCTGCTTTCTAAAATATTCTTTAGATTCTCTATTCTTTAAAATGTCAGAAACACCTAAGGTTATTTCCGACAAAGATTTATCCACTTCATTCAAAATGTTGATCTTGACATCAGTAACCGTTTGCGTAATTTGACCTAATATCGGTGAAAGTTTGTATTGATCATCGGGCGGGTGACATGCAGTTAACCTTTTACCTATATCAGAGAATCCCTCCAAGGTATTAGTGCTTAAATTACATGAAGATGGGCTAAGTTCTTTCGAACCTTCAATATCTCTTCCAACTAACATGAGGGTATCCTCTTCAACGTCTTCATCCAAGGTATTATTGCTTAAATTACATGAAGATGGGCTAATTTCGTTCGAACCTTGACAATGTCTTCCAACTAACATGAGCGAATCCTCTTCAACGTCTTCATCTTTAATAGTAATATTTATACTGGAAATATCGGACAAAAACTTATCCATCTTCTCTAAAACGTGCAGCTTAACAAGATTACTTGTTTGGGTTATTTGGCTTAATGTTGGTGAAATATTTTCTTCCCCAACGAATTCATTTAGTTCGTCTGTGCTAATTCTTAAATCGCAACATTCCGTACATGAAGATGGGCTTAAATCTTCCGTATTTTGAACCCAGACCTTTTGTGTGCTGTTTCCATCCACCCACGTGTAAACGTTATCCTTTTCATTTAAAACGTTATCGATTTCATTTGGAACGTTTAGCCTAACATCTCTAACCGTTTGATTTACTTGACTGAAAATCGGAGAAATCATTTCCAGATTATCCGGATCACAACATGCCTCGCAAATATCAATGCTTAAATTATGAGTTGATGAACTTAAATCTTTAGGATCTACTATCTGATCTGCCATATCCTTATTTCTGCTGTTTTCAACCAGCAAGCAGTTTGAAGCCTCCTCTTCTTTTATAACTTTCTGCTGAAATTCTCCAGCCGACTGTCTAATTTCACTTAATATCGGTTCAGTAATTTCCTTATAACCCTCTTTAACAAAATATTGTTCAGATTTTACTGGTGTTGTCTCAAAATTGCAGATATCGTTTGAGCCATCATCACATTTGGCCATTTCTTTATGTAATGGAGCTGTTTGATTTTTTTTATACAATTTCGACATGGGCTTATCAAGCATATTTCTAGGATTTGCGTTTGATGAAACCTTTTTTGAACTCACTGACGAGTAATTAGACTTACACGATTTGTTTTGGAGTATTTTATTGACCGAATCCTTGGGCGGATAAATATTTCTTGGGTATTGCCATCGAAGCACGTCTGTAAATCTGGAATTTCGAAATAAGTTTTTCGGCTCGTTTTTAGCTATTTCCCTGGACGGTTTGCTCAAAAGTATGTGAGAAGAATTTTTATGGGTCAGTTCCAGGGACTTGTCCACTTCTTTCAAAATATTCATCTTTATATCACTTACTGCTTGTCTTAGTTGATTCAGACTCTGATCCTCCGACTTTGTCGATACGGTTGGCGATTTCAAATTCTTTTTCTGTAAGGTGCTTTTTTCATCGGCTTCCATTTTTTCAGGTTCAGATAACGTTTTAAATTTGTTTTCTGTATCCGGCAATTGTTTTTCCAGTACTTCATTTATTGAATCGAGTTTTTTTTTATAATCTACAAATAAATCCTTCATCTTTTCTAGATTGCTTTGAGTAGGTTTATCAAATTTGCTTCCTGAAAGTGTACCTGCACTTTTTTTGAGGGGAAAGTTACAAGAATGAATTCCTATAGGAATTTTACATGCTCCTTTATATGAACTTTTCGTTGAACAAGTAGCAGTAGTATTATAATTAAAAGGTTGAGTAGTTTTAGGACAACTATGAGAATCATACAGCTTGAATTCCGAATTTATGGAGATTTTATGACCTATTCGATCTTTTTCTATGGTAAACGGAACAATATTCTCAACATCTCTCCGATCAAAGATTAAGTCTTTATTTAAAGAACTCTTAGATACCTTTAGTTCCTTAGGCAATTCATCATTTTTGTCTGTGCCTTTTTCATTAAAAACTGAAGAAACAAGTACAAAATTATTTTCAGAGCAGCTTTCCAAATTGCGAATAGATTTTTCCACTGGTTCCACGGAGGAGATAGTTTCTTTACAAGCAAAAGAATCATTTACAGATAGAAAGACCCGATCCATAAAAGAAATGTAAGCCGAATCTTCATGTGAAGCAATAGAAAAATTGTTTTCATGAACATCTGGTGAGATCGATTCCATTTGAAAATCATTTTTTGAAGGCTTCGGATCTTTTGGTTCAGATCTTAAATTTTTATAAGTAACCAAAGTGATGACATCATCGAATCTAATGCCTTTTAAAGGGCAGTTAATTATTTCTCTATAACTTTCGATTACACTAAAACCTTCAACATGTAACTTTTCAGTATGCACTTTGCGTAACTCAACTTTTTTATCTCGATTACATTTTTCCTCATTCAAGCCTACAATCCTAGATGAGCTTTGTGTGTCTACTTCATTTGGGACTATTTTCGATTCCAAATAAATATTCACTTTGGAGGCGGAGGATATTTCATTAGCATTCTGAGTTCGACTGAGTCGTTCCAGTATGCATTGAACCTGGCCATGCATACTATCGATTTGTTCCATGCGATAAGTAAACGACTCTTGGGGCCCGCTTAGTTTTGGTTTGACGGACTCGAATAGATCATAGAAAAATGCTAGGTACTCGCATCGTTTTATTTCATTCGGCTCTATGTCCACCAGTTCCTTATAGAGGCGCATAAACAAATCTCCCCTTGTCTCGTGAAGAGTTCTTTCCTCGGGATCCTTTCCGTGTTGCAACAGTTTGAATTGCATCCGAAAATCAATAAGGAACACCAGCTCTTGGGAACTGTTATAGGTCGTATCGCTTTTGGATAAGAAATTTACCGATTTTTCCACATCGTGATTAATGTTACGAAGACTGACACTCAATTCCAAGATGCCCATATGCAGATCATAGGCCTCGGCATTGCCATCCTCTCCAGTGGCTTGCTTAAATATATCCGCCATTTCTTCATCTAGTGCAATTTTAATTGGCTGTGTCTCCATTTTTAAAAACAGCATGTATGCCTTATACTAATCAAAGATATCTTACCGCTAACAAGATATCGAATTTTGGCACATTTTATATAAATTTGTGACTTAATTCCGAAACTTGATTAATATCTGACTAACAGGATTTTCAGTGCTACATGTGTGTAATCAAGCAAATGAGATTTTAGTTTCCTCGTTTTTTTATATTCCAATTCCTATTCCGCAGCGCCATTCACAATAATTAACCCATAAATCTGTCACAAGATTGTCGACAAGTACAAAAACTAAACCAAGCCATTCAGCAAAAATCGCGATGCCTGTGCACCTTTTTCAGTTTCTGCCGGAATAGAAGCAACCGCAACCTTTTGCAACCTTTCGCAACTCCCTGCCAACTTTTCATTCATTACACAGCTCTCAACGCGCCGCGAATCTCGAGTTCTTGGGGGAATGGAGAGTTGGAGGTGCTGGAAATGTATGACGCTACTTTTAACCTCAGACCGTAAAAAGTTTCTGGGCTGCAGCAAAAGGAAACTATGCAAAGATAAGTGAAAAAGATTATACAGCTTTTGCGTCGATGTCGTAAATTTTCCCAAGTTCTTTGGCCAGTTTTCTAGGTTCAAAATTTTCTGTCGCAGTTGTAGCTTGCAATATCAATAAGCAGCATAGCACAGTAGCTATGCTTCCAGTGCCATACCTTTTGTCTTTTGGAACTCGCTACCTAAGCTTCTTGTCCTTGCGTAGCTTCATTGACTCCGTTATAGATGGCGTTGCAGCTGCAGCTGGTTTTGTTTCGCTAACAGGAAGTTGACAGATCTTGTTTAGCGATCTTTTTACTTCCCCCTCGTTTGTTTCAACTGTGTCTAACCGGACTTTTTCATCTTGTCCTTTAGTCGTACTAATGATTCTTCCCATTGGCCATCTTGCAGGGAGAGTGTTCTCATGTTTTATAAGAACCAGCTGTCCCTCCTTCAGATTTGGCTTTTCTTGGCGCCATTTGGTTCGCTGTTGCAATGACACCAGATACTCCTCTTTCCATTTCTTCCAAAAATCACCTCTGATGCGTTGAATAAGCTTCCATCTATCCAAAGAGCTGATTGTCTTACTTTTGTCAAAATGTTCAGGAGCTCCAATTAGAGGTCTTCCCACCAGAAAATGACCCGGCTTTAATATAATAAAACCATCGTTTTCGCTCCTTACAGTGAATAATGGACGCACTGTTCAGCACTGCTTCGATTTGACATAGCAGCGATGCAAATTCTTCATATGTAAAGCTGTTTTCACCAATAAATCGTTTAAGGTGATGCTTCACTGATTTTACACCGGCTTCCCATAAACCTCCCATGTGGGGGCTTCCTGGGAGAATAAAGTGCCACTTGATGCCTTCTTTTTCTAGTGTATGTGCTAACGCATTATGATTTTTAATGGCAGCTACAAATTCTTTGTCCAATACTCTTGAAGCTCCCACGAAGTTTGTTCCATTATCTGAGTATAGGTTCTCACTCTTGCCTCGTCTTGCAAAGAACCGTCGAAGAGCCTCCAGGAATTTGTCTGACGAAAGGTCGCTAGCAGCTTCCAGATGTATCGCTTTTTTTGCCATGCAAACAAATACACAAATGTATCCTTTATACGTTTTTTGAGCAGCGAATCTGGAACGGTCCGGCGTAGTCGATTCCAGTATTTTGAAACGAGTAATCAGCCGTTACTCGATAAACTGGTAAATTTCCAATCAGTTGACTGGACATCTCTTGCTTGTATCGTATGCATACAATACATTCCCTTTAATATTTCATAAAGGAATTTTGTATGCCAAATATCCAGAACTCCCTCTGAATATAAGTTCTCATAATGTTAATTCCGCCATGCAGAGTTTCTTTATGAGCATCCTTTGCAATAAACCAAGTCAAATGTGATTTATCCAGTATCATTGGATGTTTTACATTATAGGGTATCATTGCGTCTTGTAGTCGTCCACCAACTCGAAGTACGCAATCACTATCCAAAAACTGATTTAGCGCCTGTAACTTACTCTTTGGGTCTAATGGTCTTTTGTTTTTGAGTAGTCTGACTTCGTGTCCAAAATCCAGCTGTTGTTGTATCTTTACCACGGCAATCTTCGCTAGCTTTAATTCCTCCACCGTAGATGTGACGGCTGTTGCGATTTTCCTCTCAGCTTTGTAATGAAGCGTAAAACCATTACTCTAAGAAGTTTGTCGATCGATGAATACTTCGATAAAAGATGATTTTGCAGATATTCGGATTTTATCAATGTGGATACCACAATAATTTGCGATTCCTTATGAGTGGGACAGTGTTGTGTATAGATGCACAACAATTCCAATTCGGCCCTCTCCACCAAATTTCACAGATTTTAAGAGCTTGTGGTGATATCCCTCTTCAAGCCACGTCTGCTGGATTTTCTTCCGACTTAACGTAATTCCATTTGACATTGGGAATTAGTTTATAGATTTCTTCCACTCTAGTTCTGACGAACTTATCTTTGCTGCGCTTGTTCTGTATCCAAGCAAAAGTAATTTGCGAATCACTCCATGCATGCGTTGTAATCTTGTTGCTCCATATAGTCTGCACTTTCGCTAATAACTTAGCTAGTAAATGTGCAGCACATAATTCCAACTTTGGAATTGTTTTCCTGTTTTTTATGGGATTAACTTTGCTTTTTGCTGCTAGTAAGGTGACTCTGCCGCCTACTTTTGTATACACAGCCGCTGCATATGCTTTCTCTGATGCATCGCAGAATCCATGTAGCTCCATAATACCTTTGGAGCATCCAGTCCAGAGTGAAATGCTAATTTCTTCTAAATCTGATAGGCCTTTAGCATATTCTATCCACCAGTTTGCTAAGTTGGATTCCAATTCAACGTCCCAAGTCATCGGTAACTTCCACAGTTCCTGAATGAAACATTTGCCTTGAATCGTTACAGGTGCCAACCATCCTAGTGGGTCGAAAATTCTGGATAACTGTGATAACACTAACCGCTTTGTTATGCGTGTTAGCATTGGTTTTTCTGCCGAAAACGTAAATGTATCCTTCTTTGGATCCCATTGGAGTCCTAAGGTTTTGATCGATTCATTTTCTTCAATGCAGATTTTCTCCGTAGCACCGTCGTCCTGAATGTCGGCTAAAATACGTTCGTCATTTGCAACCCATTTTCGCAGATGCATGCCGGCCTTCTCCATTACTTTTCTCAATTTCCTTTGAAGTTCATAGCACTCGTTGACTGTGTCTCCACCAGTTATGAGGTCATCCATATAAAAGTCGTCTCTTATTGTTTCTGCTAAGACGCTATCCTCTTGGCAAAAGCGATCTGCCAACTCTCGTAGACATCGGACTGCTAAGAAAGGTGCTGCCGAGGTGCCATATGTTACGGTTGTTAACTTGAACTCACTGATCGGCAATTTTGGATCTTCTCTCCATAGGATATATTGGTATTCTTGGTCTTTCTCAGCAACCTTTATTTGGCGATACATTTTTTCAATGTCAGCTACCATAACATATTGCCACTTGCGCCATTTAATTAGAATATCGAATATATCCTTTTGAATCTTAGGGCCAGCTATAATAACGTCATTTAGGCTTAGTCCATTTGTCGTCTTTGCGGATGCGTCAAAAACTACTCGTAACTTCGTAGTTAAGCTTCCAGGCCTGATGATTGCTTGATGGGGTAAATAGTATTTACCTTGACCCGTTGTCTTTACAGATTCCATATGTCCCATCTTAAGGTATTCTTTCATGAATTCGTTGTATGCAGCCCAGTTCTTTGGGTTTCTGTGAAACTTTTTTTCCATTTGCATAAGCCTTGCCATTGCCTGTTTGCGAGAGTCCCCAAGCTTTGCCTCTTGGTGGAATGGAATTGAAACCACAAATCTGCCTTCCTCGTTGATGACAGTTGTTTCTTGGAATTTTCTTTCGCATTCTGCATTGTCTGTAATCGTCTCATCGGTTTCATCTTCCAATTCCCAAAAGCGTTCCAGGTCCTTTAGATTTATTGTTGTAGTGGCACTTATAATTTTTTGCTTTGCTGCTCGAGTTATATTTCCGGACACAATCCATCCAAATTTGGTTTTTTGTCCCAAGATTCCATTTACGGTTTTTATTTTCTCCATCATAATCAGGGGAAATAGATCCACACCTATCACTATGTCAATTCTGCTTGGCTTGTTGAATCGTGGATCTGCTAGCCTGTAGCCCTTCCACTCTTTGTTGATATCAATATCAAACTTTTTGCTGGGAAGGGCTCTATGGAGTGTTGGTAAAACCAATGCTTCCGTTGATGCTTTGAAGCTGCTTGGAATTTTTGGTTTGATAGTTAGGTGGACACTATTTTTTGATAGTTGAGTAGTCTGGGAGATACCTTCGACCTCTATAGTACTCCTTACTCTGGGAATCCTTAATATTTGTGCTGCTTCCTCTGAAATCAGCGTCTTCTGGGATCCACCGTCAATAAGCGCCCTCAACTCGTTGTAACCTCCAGCTTTGTTTTTCACTAAAACAACAGATGTAGCCAATAGTGTGTCTTGGCCTTGCTTAAGGCTATTGCTGTTGATACTGCGTTTTGTGTCTTCATGAAGAAGGCTGTTGTGTCCTTTGGAGCATGAAATTTCCTTTCTGCTGCTTTCCAAAGCATCTAAAGCACATGCTGTTCTTTTGAACGAATTCTTTTCTTTTTTCGATTGATTGTGCTCTGAATTTGAGACACTTTATCAAATCGTTGCCATCCTTAGAGCAAAAGGCACATGATCTAACTTGTACTTTTCTTGCAGCAAGCTGAGCGGTATTTTTGGTAATGGAATTTACTGAGTTGTATTGTTGCTCAATAAACCCCAGTACGACTTGTAAGGACTGTATAGCTCTTGCCTTTTTTACATGCTGTTCATACAGCTGCAAGGCTTCTGGCGAAAATTTCCGCAGTAGAATTTCTGCTAAAATTACGTCAGCAGAGCTTTCTATTTTTCCTTTTTCCTTTATGATGAATATGCTCTCGGTCGCAGTATCCAAA